GACCTGGGTGTGTATGTTGACAATGAGCTGAAGTTCTCGGGCCATTGCGAGAAGAAGGTAAATCAGGAAAATAAATTATTGGGTCTTATAAGAAGGTTGTTCAGATATCTAGACGGTCCGTCCCTTGAAACGATCTTCAAGAGTGAAGTGCTTCCTCATCTGGAGTACTGTCACCCCGTCTGGTGACTGTCAGTTGGTTGAAAATGTTCAAAGGAGGGCCACGAGACTAGTGCCTGCACTTCGGCACCTCAGCTACCCTGAGAGATTGCCTGAACTTGCCTAGCTTATACTACAGACGGGCAAGGGGCGACCTAATTGAGGTGTATAAGCATCTCAAGGGGCACTACTCAGTTGAGTGTTCTTACTTGGAACTGGCGGACGCACGCCCCACAAGGGCTCACAGCTCAAGATTGAAGAAGCTGCAAGTCCAGAAAACTGTGAGGGCAAACTTTTTCGGAGCGAGAGAGTTGTGAACTCTTGGAACAATCTACCAGAAAGTGTTGTGATGGCACCGAGTGTGAGCTCTTTCAAGATCAGACTTGGCCAACACTGGTGCAGGTTCAGGTACATTCAGGAGCCGGTGCATACCCAGTACTTACCAACAGTGTGTAACAGAGACGTGACCGATCACCCAAACGACTAACGAGACGATCAGTGGTGAAGAGGATAAAAATTTTAAAAAATTAATTAAGCTTGTTGATATACATATTAAGATGTAATAATAAGTAGTCACAATAGGAGCAGTGAGAGATAGTCTGGACAAACTGGGTTATCTGAATCACAACTTCAATTTGAACATTACAGTAGAGTACTGTACTGTATAAGCAAGATAATGTTTTGATGACGAGATGATGAACAGTGTGAATGTGTATTACAGTATTTAAAGCTGTAGAACCAATATATGATACAGTTACAGTATTAAGGAAAGCTTACACAATGTCTAGACAGAAAATAATGAGGAAGGACAGCAGTAGGAGTAAGTGCCGCCAGAACTAGTGTGACTGATGTAAATTTACAGCAGATGGGACACCTGGGTGATATTTTTTTATATACTGAACTGTATTTATTTAATCTTATGTTGCTGTGATGTCAAAAAACAACGATTCTTTATTACTGCAAAAATTAAAAAGTAATACAAGGGGCTCAAACATAATGATCCCACAGTAATACACAGGTGATGAACATTACCAAATGATCCACAAAATTTTTGTTTAAAGAAATTTTAGAAAAAGAAATTCAAACTGAATGCTAATGTAAACATAAACATGATGGTACCTTGTACAGTACTTCTATAAGACAAAGAATACTGTACATGGACATATACTGTATACAGTACTGTATCACAAAGCCAAACTGTACACTATCAAAAAAGATAAGACCTTTTATGGAATCAGTTGTCAGATGTAGAATGTTTGAAGTTAAGACACAATGTTTGGCACAATGACTGTAGGATGAACAATGAAGATTTTCTGTGTGTCCAAATTATATGTTACAACCAGGATGTGTAACACAAGACCAGAACCTCACTCTGTTGACAAATATTACCTCTGCACTCTTGGCCTCTGATACCAAAATATATGGCAATGGACCAATCCAGATCCTTGCAATGTTGCCGAAGTCACAATATTCACATACCAACAGGAAAAATTCTGTAAATTGCACAAAAGGTAATACAGTACTGTATATCCATTATGATAAAAAATAATCATCTTTAGTGGAAGCAGTGGTGAAAGGAATGCTGTACAGTACAAAATCTCACGGTGACAAACAATACAGTAGTTTATCACTAACGTCTCACAGTTATATGACCAACAGATTGTATATGTGTAACCTGTGGTATTTATGGTGTAGGGATCCAAACTGAGATACAGCTGTAGTCAGATAATTTGGTTGAGTAAATACTGTAAAGTACCAGTACATGTTATTCCTAACCTGTAGCTTATTGGGTCCTGTTCTTTTCTACCACAGCTTAGGAAAATAAATATTACATAGCAGGTAGTTACTGTATGAAGTTGGTGTGTTGTTTTCTGTGCATGTATCCTGAGCCTCATTACACACTGTTCTATTATAGCATTTAGTAAAAGTTAAAATATTTAAATACAAGAATAAAGTTGCAAATGAATAATGCAAACCAAATTATTTACTACAAGTGCCAAGGATATGTTGCAAGCATGAGTCAATTACATGGGTACAATAATGTAATCAACTGCAATTATGATTACTGTATTTCTTAAAAAAATCATGAATACTACTTTGATAACTTACTCATAAAGAAATTATTCTGTACACATTAACGTCAAAAACCATTGTAAGCGGGAAATTGAATTATTACTCATGTATGATAAGTTCACTATTTTTCCCAAGGTTGCAATTTTAATCATTCATATAGAAGTTTCATAGAAGCTATTCCACTAGTCCTGCTGGCTGCTGTAGATGGACCAGCATACTGTACTGGTATAATTCCAGTACTGACCAGCAATGTGACATGTATTGTGCCTATGTAATTCTTAAGAGATTTTACTAATAAAGTAGTTAACAACGTACCTATGAACATATTGAGCCATAAAAATATAGTATTTGAGTTATGAGAGGCAGTATTTTGAAGTACTGTACAGTACAGTACATTATTCATATATCTTTACAGTATGTCTTAACAGTAATATTTTATATAAAACAGTACAATAAATAATAATTCACACCCAGTACTCCAACAATTTTACTTACTTTTATCCTCTTCACCACTGATCGGCTCGTTAGCCGCTTGGGCGATCGGTCACGTCTCTGTTACTTTTCTTTTTCTTTGTCCTCTTCACCAAATGATCGGCTCGTTAGCCACTCGGGCACGTGGTACTCAAACACACATGGTACTCTAACACACTTTCACTTCTTCACACACTCTCCCCATCTCCCTCCTTACCCACATCCCTCTTCTAATCTTGTCAGTGGTGGTGACCCCAGTGTTCTGTGAAGTCTTGAACCTCAAAATTAGAGCCACTCAGCTTGTCGATTCCTTTGTAATGTTGATTCTGACTGACTGTGACTTATGAGGCTTAACTTAGTAACTGAAGATCCTGTTTTGTAAATGCCTGGATGAACAAATGGTCCCCAGTGAATGGAAAGTGGCTTATGTGAGTCCTATCTTCAAGAAGGGCCATCGGCACTCCACGAACAACTATGGACCGGTGAGCCTAACCAGCATAATATGTAAAGTACTTGAGAGTATTATCAGAGATGCCGCAATGGAACATCTAATACGTAACAACCTTGTAAAGGATTGCCAACCCGGTTTTATGCCGGGGCGCTCCTGCTTAACACAATTGCTCAAGGTATTAGATATTTGGACCCATATTCTGGAACAGGATAGTAATATCGACAATACAGGGTATTTATCTAGATTTTGCCAAGGCTTTCGACAGTGTACCCCATGAAAGGCTGAAAATCAAACTGGAAGGGTACGGAATTCGGGGAAATGTCCTAGCATGGATAGAAGACTTTCTACATGACCCCAAGCAGTGTGTGGTGATTAATGGCACGAAATCGTCATCCGTACCTGTCACAAGTAGGGTACCACAGGGCAGTGTATTGGGACCGCTGTTGTTTGTTTGTTTAATAAATGACATGCCTGACGTTGTGCACTCCTCCATACAAATGTTTGCCAATTACGCTAAGTTATGTCGGGAAATTAAGAACCAAGCTGATTGTGAAGAGCTGCAGAAGGACCTCTGTGGACTCCAGGAATGGTCGAAGGAATGGCTGCTGAGAATCAATGTCACTAAGTGTAAGAGAATGCACCTTGGGCGTACCAACGGTAAGGAGGCGTATCGTATGTCCCAATGGGATGAAGAAACTGCACTAGTTGAGACTGAATGTGAGAAGGACCTAGGTGTGTATGTTGACAATAAGCTGAATTTCTCGGGCCATTGCGAGAAGAAGGTAAACCAGGCAAATAAATTATTGGGTCTTATAAAAAGGTTGTTCAGATATCTAGAAGGTCCGTCACCTCGTAACGATCTTCAAGAGTGAAGTGCTTCCTCATCTGGAGTACTGTCACCCCGTCTGGTCCCCGAGATATGCTAGGGACTGTCAGTTGGTTGAAAATGTTCAAAGGAGAGCCACCAGACTGGTGCCTGCAATTCGGCACCTCAGCTACCCTGAGAGATTGGAGCGCCTGAACTTGTCTAGCTTATATTACAGACGGGCAAGGGGTGACCTAGTTGAGGTGTATAAGCATCTCAGGGGGCACTACTGGGGCGAGTGTCCTTACTTGGAGCTGGCGGACGCTCGCCCCACAAGGGGTCACAGCTCAAGATTGAAGAATCCGCAAGTCCAGAAAACTGTGAGGGCAAACTTTTTCGGAGTGAGGATTGTAAACTCTTGGAACAATCTACCAGAGAGTGTTGTGACGGCACCGAGTGCGAGCTCTCTCAAGACAAGACTTGGCCAACACTGGAGCAGGTTCAGGTACATTAAGGAGCCGGTGCATGCCCAGTATTTGCCAACAGTGCGTGACAGAGACATGACCAATCGCCCGGGCGGCTAGCGAGCCGATCTTTTGGTAAGAGGTTAAATGAAAAGGAAAAGTAATGAGTGACGTGACCGATCGCCCAAGCGGCTAACGAGCCGATCAGTGGTGAAGAGGATAAAAGTAAGTAAAAGTAAAAAGTATATTATATCTGCACCTGAGTGATAGGTTATTAATCCTGATACACAGTTGGCAAGTGGTCCAACTAAGTACAGTAATATACCAGTCGTGAGGAATGTGTTGCATTTGCATACTAAATATACTGTGATGGGAATAGACATACTATACTGTATTGTATTTTAACTAGTGTAATCAATTACAATTTAACCTACATCTGCATTCATTTATCCCTTATTTTGTTAAAACTGTGTAACGAATTTAGAATTATAAACTTCATTGCACTATACAGTACAAGAGTACAGAGGGAAGGAGGCAGTGTGTCAGGAGGGAAGGTTTAACATCACTAGACTTGACTTACCTCGAGGCTCCACGTTTACATCTAATGCATTCCCAAGAATTGGCAGACCCTTGGGTCCTGGGATCTGTTCTATAAGCCAAATCTGTTCAGTGAGAAATGCATCATGAAACTTAAGACAGTTTCAATGTAATGTATCAATTTTTTGCTTCTTAAATTTTTTTAATGTACCAGTACTGTAATACAGGACAGTTTAGTCCAGGTATTTTCAATTTAGTGTAAAGCAAAATAATAACACAGAAATTACAATGAAAAAATTAAATAAAAATTCTACACAGCATTATCAAAAAAATTACATGTTTAATTGAATCACATGAACATTAGCCTCCCAACTTAGTTCACCTGATAATTAAACACCCTAATGTTACCTGAGGGGTTGGGTTGGGTTGGGTTGGGTGGGGTTAGGTTGGGTTAGATTAAGTAGTTAATCTTAACCCCTTGAATACGGTGACACCCTGAATATAATTGTCACTGTACTCAAGGGAACAGGTCATCTCATTCAAAGTGTTAAGTTATAATCTAGGGGTTAGTTAAAAAATCTTGGGGGTGAAACTTCAGGTGATTTATTTGCTTGTCACCTTAAGCAGATATGAAAAGAAAAACATGAGCACAAAGTTGGATATCAAAATGAAATCTAAATTACAATGGTACATTACCTAAACAAAATGCACTCTCCTCTCCCCAACTTAAACGATATAAACCTATAGTAGGTGCAGAGTTGTTTAAAGTTAAATTGATACTGTTATTTAGAATAATTGTGAAGAAGACATTTACAGACAGTCCAGTGGTCCACAATCTGCGGACTTAAAACTCAGTGTAAACCCAAATTTTAACTACAGTAGAAATGACTTTTTAAAACATATACACCCAGATTCCAAAAAAGAGTATCGTGCCAACTCAGAAAACCCTTAATACGGTAAATCTAAAATCGGTATTATTGCGTTTACACACCGTTCATTCCTACCACTAATCTATTATCATATTCGAATAAGACGTCTTATTATAAGATAATTTTCATCTATTAAATTACCGGCGGAAATGTATGATAACGGAGATAGCTTTTCCAAAAAAATTTCTATTTTCTTCCATTAACCTCCCGCCATTATCGTCTGCCTCTCACCCAACACTGCTTGTCTCTCGTGTCTGCTTCATAAATTATGACACACATGTGTACCCGTACACGTCACGCAGCCAATCAAAAGCGTTTTTGCTTTTGGAACCAATTAAAATTATTTTGGGTTTAATTCAGAGTAAATTTGGCCCAATCAAAATCGAGTTTTATTTTGGGTCTCTCATATTTTGAAATTCAAGTTCAGTTCCGACCATGGAAGTCTGCGATAGGTGTCACTTAAAGTATATGGAGCTGATTGCGAGTTTTTGGAAAAAAAACGTAGAAACTATAGCATTTTTTCGATCGCATGGTGTTCTTCCAACCTCAGTAAAGTGTACTAGGAGCAAGACTGAATGTAAATATCGCAAAGATCAACATATGTGGCATTGTGTAAGAATCCCAGAGTGCAACGACGAACAAGAACCAGGCCAATAAGGTAAGAAATAGGTGATTCCATCATATGGTGAGAGTCAGGTTAGGCTAGGTTTTTGTTTTCTAGTGTTTTTTGTGTATTTTTTAGTCGCTTAGCCACTTTTTCGGAAAACGTCAAACGAAAAAAAATCGCTAAAAAAAACCGGGCTAATTTCCGCCAAAAATGAAGGTCATATTCGGTCTAAACACACACAAATACACGAGAAAAATATATTTTTTACTTGCTAAAAGTGAGCGGTGTGACAAAGCAAATTTACCCTAAAATCACCACAACATACCTTTTGTTGCCTCTTAAAAAGCCATACTAGTGTGATGGCCACAATGGCAGAGAAAGCAACGTAGGTAAACACTCTGGGCACCCACAACAGGAAATCATCCCTCAGCCAAGCCATAGTGCTGTAGGATAAAGAAAGGAAAAAAAATATTTAAGTAAAATAATGGTACTGCACAATGTGGTAAATGAATTTAGCTTTCACAAGAGAGTTCATAATTGAAGTTCCTGAGGTTAATTATTATGCATTACTGCACTTCAAAGGCTAAGGTACAATTGTAGTGGATTCCTCCCCTACAAGCGCCATTTGTAGCTGAGTAGCCGAACCTTCTCAAATTCCCCAGCCTACGCCTCCAGTGCCGCCTGACGGAGCGGGGGTCAACTATCAACCCACACCTACCCCCACCTTATAAGACCTGACACCGCTGTGACCAGCCTCTTTCTACCCACGGCCACCAGCAAGCAACACCATCTCCTCCGCTCCAGCCTGCAGGCTCCCGCTCCCGCCGGCGACCATGGCGTCCCTCAAGCTGCGTGTCCTCAGTCTGGGCACCCTCACCAACCAGCTCTCTCTACTCAACGCTTGCTACCATGCTGCCTATCCAGCAACAAGCTGCATTGTACATCCAATACAATATGTATACAGTGAGCACATTGTGAGTTTCCTTTCTCCATCTCAACCTGAGTGTGAACCAATATCTCATAACACCACAATTGGTGACCCCCAGAGATTCGCACTCACACAGGATGGAGGAGAAACTGATCACTCTCCCAGTCTTCAAGCAACATGGGAGACTGGCTTATCCACGCAGGGGCAGCTCTCATCGGCTCTACAACTACTGTCTCTACACCGCAGGTTAGATACCCTAGAGCAGCTCTGCTACTCTAAGCAGACAGCCGCTCCTCTTCTTGCCCCAAGCACCACGTCCTACCGACCCCAACACACCCGTCCTGCCTCAGACGCCGCCCCCAGCCCAGCAGTACCACCTGCCGCTCCTGACGCAGACCCACACACCACCTCTTTTCTCCCTCAGGTACCCCCTGCTGCTGTCGTGGACCCTGCTGCTGTCATGGACCCTCTTCCTGCTGACGCAGCCCCTGCTCCTGACCCACGCCCACACACCCCAGCAGGCGCATCTGAGGACTCTGTACCTGTCGCGAGTAAAGCACAACATTCATCGCCTCCACAACCCTCCTTCTCTCTCTTTTCTCCCACAGATCTCGTGTATCTAGACAGAGTTGCCCCCCCCCTAGCGGCCGGCTCATCTACGCCCTCGCCGTTATGTCCCACATGTGGCATGCACAGCCTGTTTTGCCTCACATGTGGCACGCAACTCTGCCAACCTCCAGCCTCCCACCGCGCCCGGAGGGGAAGGGGAGTATTGTAGTAGATTCCTCCCCTACAAGCACTGAACCTTCTCGAATTCCCCAGCCTACGCCTCCAGCGCCGCCCACGGAGCAGGGGTCAACTATCTACCCACGCCTCCCCCCGCCTTATAAGGCCTGACACCGCTGTGACCAGCCTCTCTTTCTACACAGTGCCACCAGCAAGCAACACCTCCTCCGCGCCAGCCGGGTGGCTGCCGCTCCCGCCAGCGACCTTGGCGTCCCTCAAGCCGCGTGCCCATGTGGGGTACGTTATGTTTGTTTGGACTCAGGATGGAGATGGAGATGGAGACAGGAAACTCACAATGTGCTCTCTGTATACATGTTGTATTGGATGTACAATGCAGCTTGGTGCTGGGAAGGGAGCATGGTTACAAGCGTTGAGTAGAGAGAGCTGGTTGGTGAGGGTGCTCAGAGGAGGACAGCTTGTAGGTCGCCATGCTCGCCGGCGGGAGCAAGGGCCGCCAGGCAGCGACGGAGGAGGTGGTGTTGCTTGATGCGGCTGTAGCTAGAAGAAGAGAGGTAGGTCACCACGAGGTCAGGTCTTATATAGCGGAGGTAGGCGTGGCTTAATAGTTGACCTCCGTCATGTAAGGCGGCGCTGGTTGACCTAGACCACGAGGCATACACCGGGGAATTCGCGGGGTCGGCTACTCAGCGACAAACACTTATTACCATGTTACCTACCCAGCACCAAGCTGCATTGTACATCCAATACAATATGTATACAGTGAGCACATTGTGAGTTTCCTTTCTCCATCCCATCCTGAGTGTGAACCAATATCACCATAACCCCACCACCCCCGGCTACCTGTACCCCACCGACATGTCGACGCACACACCATCACAATTACACTAAAAGGTGTGTCCCTCAATGTTGTCAATGCCTATGTTCCTCCCTCCACCCCTACTGTACCTGCCCCACCACACCATATCACCTCCACCCCCACTGTACTTTGCCACGCCTAGTACATTGGCAACCCTGGGCCTGGCCGCACTGTTTGTAAACTTTGTGGTCAACAGACTCTCACATCCTCTTTCACCACATCCTCATTTGCCCTATGACCTCCCCCTACAGGGGTGGCACCTCTTCCCTCCCTGACCAGATATCCCTCCTCCTAGTGACAGGCCTGGCACTTGACATTATTAGGGACCTGCCACACTTTGCCATAAACAGATAAATTGTACCGAAAATTCCCCCCCCCCCACACTCATCATTGTCACTTTATGTAACTTGCTGACAAAACCCATGACCCTTCAGGCCTTTTACGCCCTTAATGCATGAGTCATAAAGGCAAGCATGAACTCCGCATGCTTCCCAGTTGGGCACTGTAAACGCTTCTGCGCTTCACCTTGCACAGGATGTAAGGGGGTGCCCAATAAACTAGCCCCCTCATGGGGGTCCGACTAATTACCCAAATGTAGCCGCAATGAAGTCAAATGATGGTCCTACATAAATAAATCGGACTGCCAATCACTTCTCGACTAGTATTTGGTGTCACGAAGTCACAAAAAATTGGTAAACTTAATCTAATCTGAGTTAATAGATCAAGTGCATGTACCTAACCTAACCTAATCTAACCTAACCTAACACAACTCAGATTAAATTAAGTTTACCAATTTTTTGTGACTTTATGACACCAAATAATAATCGAGAAGTGATTCACAGCCCGATTTATTTATGTCGGACCATCATTTGACTTCATTGCGACTACATTTGGGTACATTTGGGGAATTACTCACTCCCTCGGTACAAGCACGCAATCTATTAACTCAGTTTAAAGTAAGTTTTCCAATTTTTTGTGACTTTGTGACACCAAATACTAGTCGAGAAGTGGTTGGCAGTCCGATTTATTCATGTGGGACCATTATTTGACTTCATTGCGGCTACATTTGGGTAATTAGTCGGACCGCCCTTGTGGGCAATCTGTAAAATCTGGCATCCTCACCAACCAGCTCTCTCTACATCACGCTTTTAACCATGCTGCCTTCCCAGCACCAAGCTGCATTGTACATCCAATACAACATGTATACAGAGAGCACATTGTGAGTTTCCTTTCTCCATCCCATCCTGAGTGTGAACCAATATCTCATAACCCCACACAATACTTCGTTTTATTATATTATTTGTCTTTAACGGTGATATTGGTAAAGAATAAGACTTCGATTAGTGTTATAAAGAAAAGCAGAGACCTGTCCAAGACTAATATGACGTAATAAGCATACAGTATTTTTATGCATTGGCAACTCCGATTATATAATTTTATCAGGCGCTCCACTCGGGGAAGTTGAAATGCCGAAGGGCAGGGACCAGTAATCTTTTTGTTAATTGCATTCATAAAAGCCAATGAAACACAATACACAGTACAACAGTTGCACTTATGCTTCAGCAGTAAACGTAATTATTTAAGATTCTGGCATTTTTGCATTAACATCATCGCAGAACTGTTCACATTAAGAAAAATAAACTAATAAAACTAAACATTCATCAATCTCAGCTCTTCTTTTTCACAAATGCACATCTCTGTGACAAACGTCGTTACCAATTGAAATAGAAAATTAACGGTTATTTATTAAGCAACTACATTTATATTACAGTAGAAGTCGTCCTCAACAAAATATAGTACCGTAATTGGATCTCCAATTGCCTAACCTGTGGCGTCACCTACTCTTATACTTTCTTGTCATATATCAATGAAGCTTAGAATCTATACACACACACAGCGCTGAATCCACACACTAGCTGGAGCAAGGAAGACTATCAAATGAGGTAAGCACACTCACTGGTTAAGTTGCTGAGAGCCAACCCGTGTCTGGAGTCTCCCCTCACTAGTGAAGTTGTCCACAGGATGAGTGGTGGTGTGGTGACTGAGCGTGGCTGCCAGACGACTCCCCTACAAGGCTGACTGGATTTCCGAACACGCTGATTGGTTCAGCTGCTCGCGTTGTGATTGGTTGCGAGAACATTATGTAATATTACTATTTTCTATAATATAATGTGTGGTGAGGGGTAACGAAGATCCCAGATACAGTGATTATATGAGAGTAGTCTTCATACTCAGTGAATTTCATTGTTCCTGTCATTAGTTTTATAAATTTCTGAATAATAAACACTGCATTATACACCATTCAGAGTGTTATATGAGATTACATTAGATTCGTATTTTATCAATTGTAATTTGTATTACTTTTCGATAATACTGAATAAAAAAATAACCAAAACATTCCAACAATTTTATTTTGACACTACATAAAAAATACAAATACATTAACATTTAGAAGTATAACTAAGCACAAGAAATATATACATTACCTTATTTTACACATTGTAACATGGTATTGTAGTGGATTTCTCCCCTACAACCGCTGTTTGTCGCTGAGTAGCCGACCCCGCGAATTCCCCAGTGTATGCCTCGTGGTCTAGGTCAACCAGCGCCGCCATACATCACGGAGGTCAACTATCTACCCACGCCTACCTCCGCTATAAAAGACCTGACCTCGTGGTGACCTCTCTCTTCTTATAGCTACAGCCGCAGCCAGCAACACCTCCTCCGCCTGCCTGGCGGTCCTCTCTCCCGCTGGAGAGCATGGCGACCCACAAGCTGTCCTCCTCTGAGCACCCTCACCAACCAGCTCTCTCTACATCACGCTTGTAACCATGCTGCCTACCCAGCACCAAGCTGCATTGTACATCCAATACAACATGTATACAGAGAGCACATTGTGAGTTTCCTTTCTCCATTCCATCCTGAGTGTGAACCAAACAACCTGAACCCCGGAATTTAACCCCACACCGTGACGTCACTGTTCCGACTGTCGGTAAATTACCGACTTAAGGAAATATGCTTTTTCATGGCAAAAATACCATATAGAATACGCAGAAATAAATAGTAGATGTATTTAATTACTTTACCTACATTTTACTAGCGATATTTTAGCAGAATTATATTCTGCTGAGTCACACACGAAGCGATATCGATACTGTGGGGTACTTGATGTTTGGGTTCACACTCAGGATGGGATGGAGAAAGGAAACTCACAATGTGCTCTCTGTATACATGTTGTATTGGATGTACAGTGCAGCTTGGTGCTGGGAAGTGGCAGCGTGGTTACAAGCGTGATGTAGAGAAAGCTGGTTGGTGAGGGTGCTCAGAGGAGGACAGCTTGTGGGTCGCCATGCTCTCCGGCGGGAGCGAGGGCCGCCAGGCAGGCGGAGGAGGAGGTGTTGCTTGAAGACTGGCTGTAGGTAGAAAGAGGTAGGTCACCACGAGGTGAGATCTTATATAGCGGAGGTAGGCGTGGCTTAATAGTTGACCTCCGTCATGTAAGGCGGCGCTGGTTGACCTAGACCACGAGGCATACACTGGAGAATTCGCGGGGTCGGCTACTCAGCAACAAGCGTTTGTAGGGGAGGAATCCACTACACAGTATCTCAAAAAAGTATCTGTCCACACACTTTTTCCAAAATAATAATACACCTTTTCACATATCCGTTGAGACATTGTTACATAACTATTTGACAAATTTCATAACGGAATGACTGAACACATATCGAATGACAATCTAAAATAACTGTTGGTTCATGCTAACGGAAGAGACTGACATAAGTTATGAAGTTGACAGACGTGAACAATAAACCGACAGTCTACACATAGTTTGAGAATGTAACAATTGGAGAATGACATACCACCAACAGTTATTTTAGATTGTCATTCGATATGTGTTCTGTCATTCCGTTATGAAATTTGTCAAATAGTTATGTAACAATGTCTCAACGGATATGTGAAAAGGTGTAATAATAATAATAATATGGTGAAGGTGTAGATAGTTGCGACCACCAGAGGGAATTGTCCGAATTGGCTGAAAATTTGTCTACACACTAATATCATATAGAACACAAAAATGGAAACAACAATGCATAGAAACCAGCAAGTGATCGCGGGCACGTTCGTGCCCTTGTGAGAGCTTGAACGCTCGTGACAGCGAATGAGGGTGTGTCAAGTCCGTATACTTGCATGGTTAATTATGGTGCGCCAAGGCCGTACACTTGCATCGTTTTTCATCTTAAATAAAATTGTTAACTAATGCCTTCCTAAAGAAGCCATCGACATGGGAGCAGGTTTGTTCCACTCTACAAATTTTTTTGATTTTTCCACCAAGTTTGATGAAAAACGATTGTGCCGTTTCGGCTGCCCAGAACAGACACACACACACACACACGCCTAGTCCTATAGTACATTAGATATTAGATAGAACCTGACCTAACATAGCAAAAGGTTGGGTGTAGTAGGTCAGGTTCTATTAGGTTCTATGCATTATCGTGTTAATTTATGTGTTAAACAACTTACCTTAATATTGAGGTTGATATACATCGGCAATGGTGAGGAGGAATTCGTGGAAGCGTTCACCATCATTTATAGGAAAAGTCTCTTGAAGAGGGATTCAGCGAGGTAAACATCAAAAAAGGCACCGGGAGGAGAATTGTGAAACAGGATAGAGTAAAAAAAATTAAATCATAATAGAAAGTTGTTGTTTCTTTTAATATACTTAAAATCATCAAAACAGTAAGTACAACAAAAATAAAGAAAATCAACAAACAACTTCTGGTGGTAGCCGTTGTCTACACTTTTACCGTTATTATTATTACTTTTATTATTATGATTGATGCACTTACCTTGCCTTCTGCTTGCTACTACTGATGGAAAGTGCTCACCTTGGTGTTGCCAAACACGAGCTCTGACGCCTTTTATGGCCACAACTTTGCCCTTACGATAGACAAAGTGGCCCTTCTTAATGATTAGGGGTTCTTCTAATTCGTATAATGAACAATTATATACGAGCCCTACCCTGGGATAACTAGTCATCAAGTTAATCCTGGGAAAAAATTACAATCTGATAAGAAATGAAAAATAATTATATTCTTATCATTTGTTTTGATAAGAGCACCTGACATAAACTCTTCAAGGAAATCTAAAGACTGTTACAGGCGTTCTTCATACTTAACTTTATCCTATTCGCTACTTGTCAGCTTGTTAGCCGTTGGGCTGTTACAGCAGCCTGTTAGTCATATCTATGACACTATACTGCCAGATTCTGGGGTCACTAATTCTAAGGGGATAACTTAACTATAGTCTTCATTTTAAAGGTTGCTGCCACCAGTCCCCCTATGGGCAGTATGTAGCTCGCTAGGTAGCGGGCAGAGTGAACTAGGCATTGGGTTAGGTTTTTCATTGACCAGATCGATAAGGGGAAAGAAGGGTGAAACCATAACTAATATATTTCTTATAAAACATACTGCATTCTGTTAAGATACAAGTGAGTTGGCCTTCCTCAGAAGAACAACGATGATGTTGGTTACCCTGCTCGACAACAGACGTCTTACATTAATTGCGTGTCATCCACATACTTACTGTGTAACACTCAGCGACCTCCTTATCTCGATCATCCCTTCTTACAATAACACTCAACACGTCAGACGGCTCCACCCGTAGGGAATATAGCACCTTAGGTTATCATACATGGTAGCATCCTCTCACCTCCCTGTAGCATCACCTCCACACCTGTTACACTCCATACCTGCAAGTATGGGACTCCTTGTAATTTCTAGGTACCCATATGAGGCACCTCGTTCGCACACCGCCCTCGGTGGGTAGAGACTAGGGATTCACCAAGAGACATACCAGAACTGTTTCTACGCCTGGTATTATAGGTCGCTCCAAGTATTTCCACTCATGTGTGGTGGTATGCTGGGAATCCACAGGTTCACAGTGGATTAGCATAGCTGGGGGTAGTCATCTCACATGGAGGGACGCTTACGGGCGTAATGGCCGTCGTTCTGGTGAGTCAGAGCGCGCGGGGACCTGGGTTGATGAAAGGAGCAAGCGCGTCTGAGAAATAATGCCTGATGGGCCGTTATCACACACCCTAACATTACTATTTCACTTTCTACATCAAGCAAAGGTTTAAGGTATTATAACTGCTATAAGTCTTGTTTTAGGACTGAATACAATCCGATGAATTTCACTGACCTGGGTTGATGAAAGGAGCAAGCAAGTCTGAAAGCCGATGCCCTCCGCTCCTCCCACCGACGTAGGCCTACAGTTTCCAATCTTTAATTTTCACTTTGATTTCTTATGGTTCTCACATAAACACCTTCCTGTATATTGTAACCTCATGTCTTATAAATACATATTTTACTCCGAACTTACATACTAGTATACAGTTCGAGTTTGACAGTTAGTGGGGAAATTAATTGAGCGATATTATATAACAGGGTTTTTTTTAAGGAGATTAGCCCACCCGGGTACAGGTCACTGACCCACATCGGGCCTGGGGGGCGAAAATTTAATAATAATAATAATACAGTAATTCATAGTAAATAAAACTTATAATAAAAGGTAAAATAAAATAATAATAACAATAACAACACTGTAATAATGATAATAAAAAATCAATTGTGAGAAACGCTATAAGTACAGTATGTACTGTAAGTTGTGTTGTCAACTGTAAGAGAAACAACTGAGACCCTGCAATTGTGTGTAAATGAGGCAGAAAGTCAGATCAGCAACCTAGGACTTGGTCACAATATTCGTGATGCCATATGGCAGCAGGGTCTACCATTAGACAACACATTATGCTTCCAATATCTTCCCAGGCAGTAGTACCTCCCTGTTTGGTAGCTGCCTGCTACCTACTACCTACCTGGGTACAATTCAACAAATGATTAAGTAACATTGAGTAGGCGAGTTATCCTTTATAAATGTTTCCCGTTCTCTGAGATTCTACAAGCGCGGTGGATTTGAATGTTATATAGCATAAGATGAATTAAAGGGGTTTTTCAAGAATGACAATGATGTGCGCAGTACAACACACTGTTGTCTGTTTGTAAGTATTGGACATGTACTGGTTCCGGAATGCATCTGTACCTGCGCCAGTGTTGGTCAAGTTTGCCCTTTTTCTTTTTTTTTTACTTTTATCCTCTTCACCACTGGTCAGCTCGCTAGCTGCTTAGGCGATCGGTCACGTCTTTGATTACTTTTCTTTTTCTTTTATCTTCAACAAAACATCGGCTCGTTAGCCGCTTGGGCGACCGGTCACGTCTCTGATTACTTTTCCTTTTCATTTGTCCTCTTCATCAAAAGATCGGCTCGCTAGCCGCCCGGGCGATCGGTCACGTCTCTGTCACGCACTGTTGGCAAATACTGGGCATGCACCGGCTCCTGAATGTACCTGAACCCGCTCCAGTGTTGGTCAAGTCTTGTCTTGAAAGAGCTCACACTCGGTGCCGTCACAACACTCTCTGGCAGATTGTTCCAAGAGTTCACAACCCTCACTCTGAAAAAGTTTGCCCTCACAGCTTTCTGGACTTGCGGCTTCTTTAATCTTGAGCTGTGACGCCTTGTGGGGTAATATTTGCACCTCGACTTGGCCTTATCCTGAACTAGGTAACAGTTAAATCTGAATGACAACACTATATGGTGACTGGTGCCAACTGGGGCAAGGTATTCCAGTTTGACCACCACACCCTCCTCGTTTGTTATGATGAGGTCGAGTTGCTTGGGTGTTTGCTCCCCTCTGTAATGTGTCGGGTCCCTAACATGTTGGAACAGAAAATTTTCTCTCAGAGTTTCTACAAACAGAGTAGCAGGGTTATTCAAGTCATTCGGGGTGGACTCGTTTCTTCATTCGATGTCGCCATAGTTAAAGTTCTCCATGATACGGAGGAGGCTAGGGTTGAGCATCGCCGCGTTGTTTATTAAGATTCTTAAGTTCCTTTGATTTAGTGGGCTACAGTTTGGGGATCTGTAGATACACCCGACGATAAGTAAGTCCCCTCCCTTTAATTTAATTTTACACCACTTGAACTCTTCAAAAACATCTCTCTCTTTCTACCTACAGCCGCAGCCAGCAACACCTCCTCCGCCTGCCTGGCGGTCCTCTCTCCCGCTGGAGAGCATGGCGACCCACAAGCTGTCCTTCTCTGAGCATCCTCACCAACCAGCTCTCTCTACATCACGCTTGTAACCATGCTGCCTTCCCAGCACCAAGCTGCATTGTACATCCAATACAACATGTATACAGAGAGCACATTGTGAGTTTCCTTTCTCCATTCCATCCTGAGTGTGAACCAAACATCTTGAACCCCACAAAGTATTAGAATCTGCTAAGAAACTCTAAATAACTTTAATTATTATATTTGTGTACTGTAATTTGATCATATTATACCAATTGTCTCCTGTATCAATAGTTATAACATGCGAGTTATATTTAAGATGTTAACAGGCTATGTACTGTATATTGATTGTATTATTCATATGATGTGTCCTGAGATAACAGCATTTGTTATATGTGAAATGTTCTTTAACAGGTTTTGACCGAATTATATGGTACGCGTCAACGTTGAGGGTTTATTTCACCAGCAACAAACCAATAACGCTCCTATGAGCGTTAACAGGATAAAAGTAAAATTACAATATCTGGTTGGTGTACTCTTAGTAGTGTTTCAAACTCTTCTCTCTTATCAAGGAACGTGTCAGTATTAGTGTACATAACATTCGAGCCAGAATTGTTGTCGGTAACGTCTCTGCTCTTAGTGATAAACCCACTCCCCATTCTGAGAAGTTGCAGCATTTGCAGGGTGAAGAAAACGTATTTTATGGGGTATGTTATGAAATGGGATTGACTCTCACAGCGATTATTTTACTGATTTTATCTGATCTTATTTGGAATTCATCGCATGTACAATAAAATATGATTAAAAACACCATGTTGTCAAATACACATTATATAACGACGATGATAACGCAAAAACTTGCCAGATATTTATGGCTGACTAATGGTAGGAATACTCTTTCTAAAACTGGTAAATTACTGTATTTTTAACTTAAGCAGATGGTAACTGTACTTTTTTGTACTTTGATATGTTAATTTAAAGGTCAGAGAAGTTTAGTGGTTAAAAAATCTGAATAAACATCTAAATTGCAAAATGGAAAGGATATGAAACCACCTGCATTACCATGTAGGTGTTATATATCATACCTTAGACCACATGGAGTAAACAATATTATCTGAGGAAGCCAAAAGGTTACTTCAAAGGAAGTCGAATGTGTTTATCAGTCAAACCTGACCTACATTAACGGATAGGTTAGGTTAGGTGTGATAGATTTAGACGATATAGACATTTATGCCAATTTTAGCAGAGCCCTACGTTCATATTCCATATTACAGCAGCTGGGGGTCACTACTTACCCCTCCCCACATGACGACCAGTGTTTGCGTGTGCCAGCACCCCAAAGGAGTAATTAATTAATCAAAATAAGAAATATGGGTGACAGCGAACTTACCGTACGCACTTCCGGGATATGAGTCGATGTTTGCTGATTGTCATATACTGTACTTGAAGGTGATATCTGTGTGACCCTTGAATAGTGTAGGTTTATTATTTAAGTACAGGGTACAGTATAGCATTATTCCAGCCCCGTTGTCATTATTTTTTTTTGATGATAGAAAGGTAAAGATTCGTTATTGACCACAATGGGAAATTAATACCCTGACCTAACCTTTCTTAACCTACAAAAAATCCTAATGGAGGAGCATAAAGTGATTGTTTTTTTTGTTTTTTTTCTGTGTTTTTGTCACGAGGAAGCCAAAACATGAATGAATATTTCTAGATGAAATACTTGTGCATGCATAATTCTTAATAGAAATAATACTTTGAACTAAAAATATGTCAATTTTGTTGTAGGCTGATATTGTTTACATCGGTTCCATGCTAAAACCCCAACGGGGTTGTCTTTTGTCAACACTAACCTAACCTAACCTAAACATAAGTTTTTTTTATATGAGACTGGGGTTTTGTCCGTTGGGGTTTTATCCAGTCACCGTTTACATCTTGTACAGAAGTAAACACTTCTAGTTATGTACAAAACGACACACACAATCATTTTATGCTCTTCCATCAGTTACATAAGGTAAGATCTTTGTAAAAATAAGTACTGTATTACCGGTATTTTAGGTTAGGTTAGGTTCCCAAGGGTTTGATTCCCTCCTTTTTTTTCCATTTATCCTCTTCAACACTGATCGGTTCGTTAGCCCCTTGGGCAGTCGGTCCTGTCTCTGTTACACACTGTTGGCAAGTACTGGGCATGAACTGGCTCCTGAATATATCTAAATTGTTTAATTAGCGTTTTAACCCCACACTTTCACTCATTTTCTAAGCCTGCCTACTTAGTAAGAAACCATTGTCACTGGTAGTGGGTCATATCTCTATAAATATATGTCAGCAACGAAAATAAAGGTCATTTTCTTTTAAATCACCGTGAAAAACAAGAAAAGGTTATAAATTTCCTATTACGGTCCCCAACGAATCTTTACCAATATAAACACTGAGATGCGTTACTGCAAGAGAGCCCTTCATTTTACAATGGTTGGAAGCTAATGCAAGCAGACAAAGGCATTAAGACAGTCCTATTGACTTGCTAAACAAAATGTGGTGGGAACAGTTACAGGTGCTGTTCAAAAGATAAAATATTGAATAAAATAGGGTTCTCAAGTCTAAAAAAAAAAATAGATATAAATCTGACCCTCAGCTCAAAAAATAAGAATTTTGTCCTACAAAATATGAATGCTGTATCCATAATATATTGTTAATATTTTATTTAGATAACAAAAACAACAAAATGAAGAATCTTCTCTTTGTGTCTATTGAAAATTGTATTTGTCCCATATATGGGTCTTTTTGCACAACACAGTTATTCAAAAGGAAAGTGTACATCTCGCACCAAATATCCGTGAAGTCAAAATTTACTTTAACTTGGATTAGACCCTTCACCACTGCAACGTTAAGTAAATTTTTAAAATACAGATCTTTGTTTGAATCACTTGTAGATTAACTGCAGATTATTTTACCTGATGATTAAATACCCTAATGTTACCGGGGGATAAGTTAGGTTAAATTAGTATTGAGATGAAATAGGCTAGGGGCTAATATTCAGGTGCTCCTTTTGTACAGTTCAATATGAAATCTTATCTTATTGTACATTGACACTTGACCTAGGGGAACACAATTCAGACTACAGTACGTTGAGGATATTTAGAAATTAACCTTCAGTACATGGCAGACAGTTATTTCTGGATATTTTGATCATCAGCATTAAAAATACTGTATTCGGAGACATTAACCAGTTAACTTAGTTGAATGGAGTGGACTTATTGACCTCCTTCATTCAAGGGTTGTCTATCTCCTGAAGCGGGGTGGGGGGTTGTAGAAGGGGCAGCCGTCCTGGGCACCAAAGAGAGGGGGATGCCAAAATTACATTTAAAAATTTTCTACTTCTTATTTTATTGATTTATAGAACTTCATTTGGCAGCAAATCCAATAAATATACATAACTATATCATATGGGTAATATTGTTTCATATTGCTAACAGATGCGAAGCTGAAGGGTGTTTTGATATCCCATCACTTTTATGTTCCGGTGTGAAAAATTACATTACTGTAATTATAATTAAATTCATCAATGATTATTTGCAGGGGGGGGGGACAAATGCAAGTTCTGTCCAGGGTGCCATCAAGGCTTGCTATGGCTCTGTCCTGAAGTACCCTAAGATGCAGAAGTGAAAAATCTTCCTACTTGCCTACCCTGAGTTCTATCCCTGTATTTTTAGTGCTCCCTCTTGCACTTCCAATCTTTTCTTCCTTGGCTTTCCAGTGATTGTACTTTTCTTTTTACTTGAGTACTTTTCCCACTTTCTGCCTGACACTCCATCCTTGCTAGAATCATACAATCAGATTTTGAACCACCTTAAAATTAGACACCCCAGGTTATTTCACCTTAAGATTAACTAATCTAACATAGCCAAACCTAATCTGATCTAACATGACCTAACCTACGTAGCCTAACCTAATGCAACCTAACCTAACATATCCTCCCCGAGGTAACATTTTACTGTATATAGATAAGTTAGGCCAAATGGGATACTGTAACAGTGTTTTCATGAAGTGTATGAGAATTCCAGTAACTTGTAATGATAGGCTGAGTTCATTGTACTCATGTCCAATAAGGTCTGGGTGTACCATTACAGTGAACACAAAGGTCTGGGTGTATCAGGCTAATGTCCACTCAAGTCTGGGTTTACCTTCCATTACCACTTATGATCATGAAGCACTGTGCTAGTTTTAAACAAAGTATGAAGTGCTGGGAACTCCCGGTAATTATCGAAAAGAGGTTAAGGCGACAGAAGGCATTGACCTTGGCATATCCAGGTGTAACACTTGAGAACACTGATAACACTTGAATTACCTATAAAGAACAGTAAACATATCAAGTTCCAGACACTACTTAAGCTAAACCATTTTGATGTTCATATAACCCACATACAGTATAGTGTGGTGTGGGATCAAAGCATTTTAGTATGGTGTGGGATTGAAGAATCTAGTGTGGTGTGTGATCAAAGCATCTTAGTATGGTGTGGGATCGAAGCATCTTAGTATGGTGTGGGATCAAAGCATCGTGTTACATCATGCCAATCCACTGATGGTCCTGGGCCATGGTTACTTTGTAAACACATACACTATTCTAATCTTTATGTCGAAATACAATTACAGTATATACTGAAAGTCAAATATTTCGTGCTATATCTTCCTTGTTAGACTATACTGTTATATGATTCATACGTTTGTGGTGGTCTAGTGCATAATCATATTATACAACATCTCCTTACGTTGTACCCTCAAGTTCCCCACACTTTGGGAAAACTACTTGCTAACTAAATAATGTTCTCTTGTTCTTCTAATAATGTTGTGACAAGCCACATCCCTTCTGGTGAGTTTGCCGTATTTGGATGTCATTAAAAGAAAAAATCCTTCCCCAGACCGCTCCACTCTTCAAACTAGGCTTACATGTATAGTATCTGGATAAAAAATTTAATCCAACACAACATGTTATGAATATGATAAGATTTTGTACTCTGTGTTTATCCATTCGAGTTATCACTAAGAAAGAAAGATAACAAGACTGATGTTATGTTATCTTCAATCTCACCCTTTGTAATTCTGGGCTCCTCCGTCCACTATCTAGACATGGCCGTCACCCACAATAAATTTAAACCTTGAAATCAGGTAATGGTTCATAATTAACTAAATCCTTGACCTCGTCTTCCTGAAATTAAGGATGGAAAATCCCCTCTTGGTAGACACACGTCATGGCATACTGTTGAAATGGCTATACATTGAATTCAGACATAACTTTATAACTACCAATAAATGAACCCTGCCATATTAACTTGATCGCATGCAGAATTGATCATTTGTTCCCGAATCATGATGAGGCAAAAAATATTCCCACTCTATCACTTCTTTATCAGATGGTACCTTATGTCACCCCTTCTTTGACACACAGATCCCACTCTGTAGGCCTACAAGGTACAATACTCAATATTAGCATCATGTGAAGATTAGCTCCCATTTATTTCACCTTAAGATTAACCACCCTAATGCTAACCTAACCCCCAGGTAATGTTAAGGTGTTGAATCATCAGGTGAAATAAACTGAAGTGTATAATTTTCAGATGATCCCAGCTAGTATTAAGAACTCCCAGATGTATTGACAGGATCAGAACCTGGCCCTTGAGTATTATATTGTGAAAACCGGGTGAAAAACTTGTGGATCTTAAGATAATACTATGTGGTCTTATGTTCTTGAATGAATTCGGCTCCAAACTCGTTGAAGCAGCCAAACACTTGAGTTCCTTACTATACAGTGATCCAAAGGGAATGACTTTTATATGGAAGCTGGAGAGAGTCTCTGATATGATGTGATTAGTTTTAAGGTCTTATACACTGATTAACCCTTCAATGACTCACCTATGCCTTAGTTTATCTGGTATGGGAGGAGTTTAGTGAAGGTGACAAGGAGACTCGCCAGGGTGGTGAAGGGTGGGGGAGGGGGTGAGACATGTCACAGGGGATCTTGGAGGTACTAAAGACAGCTGCTCCATCAGAATGCCACAGTTAGAATGAAGAGACTGGGAATATTCACACCTTTCCTCTTCAAGTTACAAGACAGACACACCCATTGAGTCCAGACGATTAAACATCTGAAAAAAAAGCTTTGTAAAGCCAGCTTATAAAAGGAATATCGAATTCTAAGTCTGATTTTTTTCTCTAAGATCCCAAAACTACACCGAAGAACAAAATGAGAACCCTGACTTCTTCACTCCTCTCTGCTGCTCGTGTCCACACCATGAGACTCACCTCCCTCAAGAACCATACCTTCAAGTTTATCCAAGCCCAGGCTCCTTCCCATGCCCGTGCCATCACCACCAAGTCTAAGACAAGGAGCCCATCATCAGCTCTCCCTGCTAGGTTAGTCCAGCATATAGCTTCAGCGGTCACCTGTGTGAGTGAGTGACTGAAAAAGACTGTATGACAATGTAGTGATTATAAAATGACACAATGTTGACAGTTGTTTATACAGTACTGACAGCTTTGACTGTTCAGCTACTCAACCCTTCACCATACTCTAAATCTAACTTACCACAACTAAGCCAAAAGTTAGAGATATTAGCGATTAATTATGATGACGTTTACATTCTACTCTGTTTAAATTAGAAATGTATGATTTAGATTGAGTATTCATTCACTGAGTTCATAATAATTATTGCTCCTGACTGAGTTTGGAAAATAAGGAGAACTAAATACATTTTTAGGTTTTGAAACTAAATAACCAATTACTGTACTGTCAAATATTGTGTGTTGGTTGTAAAAGTTCCTTAACCACTTGTGTACAGGGCATCCTCTCTGCTGAATAAAATCGTCTGGCGTTAGCCAAATAAAATACAGTATTAAAAGTGGCATCACCATAGTGAAGAGATCATGTTACACTGTGCTGACTGATATGCAAGTAAGTTTAAGGAATATTTCACCACATCCACTCTCCTTCGAGCAGTGCAACAACCGAGAGTTCACAGAACATAGTGGCGTCACAACTCCCAGACGTGGACCTTACCTACACTCCTGTCACCTCTTCTATTTTCTCCAATGTCTCCAAGTGGTCACATAAAACTGCCATTGTGAGTACAGTACAACTTTTTGGAGAAATTGTCTTTAGATCACCTGAAGATTATCCGCCCCCATCTAGCTTATTTCACCTGAAGATTAACCACCCTAATACTAACCTAACCTAATCTGACCTATTCCCTTAGGTAGTGTTAGGGTGGTTAATCATCAATTAAAATAAGCTGGGGGCTAATCTTCATGTGATTCTGATCATTTTTAATAGAATTTTCATAAGGTAGGAATATTTACTAACAGCTGGATAACAGTGAGAGGAGTATTTACCAGTAAGGAACAACACCTAACCCAGAGTTGTCCTGTCTACAGGAATGTGGGGTGACAGGCAGGAGTTACACTTATGGCCAGATTGTGGATGCTGTCATGAAGTTTGGTGGACTGCTGCAGAAGATAGCTGGTGATGGAACGGCCCCAACCACAGATAACGGCAAGCTGATGGTGGCCATCTTATCACCTAACAGCCCAGAGTACCCCATCATATTCTATGGCACTACTCATGTTGGTGCCACCATCACCACCATCAACCCCACCTACACTCCAGGTGGATATATATATATATATATATATATATATATATATATATATATATATATATATATATATATATATATATATATATATATATATATATATATATATATATATATATATATATATATATATATATATATATATATATACAGTGGTCCCTCGGTTAACGAGTTACCTTCCATAAGATTCTTAACTTCGGTTAACGAGCAATCCCTCGATTAACGAGTTTCTTACGAGTCGAACCTCAACATGTTTTCGCTTGCATTTGTAGGTCCACCAGCTGTAGTATTAGTGCGCCAATACAGTAATCGGTTCTAGGGCTTATATTCCTTACCGTTTTAGTAAATATCAAGACCTTTATACTATTCAATAATTTTAAAAGTTTAATATTAAATTTTTTTGTCATTTTAACAATTATTAAACATAATTGAAGGTAAGGAAACTAGTTTTATGCACGCCATCCAGCCTGTCAACACACCAAACAGGTGCCAGTCTCTCTGTCTTTTCAGTGGAGTTAACATCTTGCTTGAGACTCTCTTCAACTAAATGCTTTTTTTCTGTGTTTGCAAGCAAATTATTGGTCATTTTGAAATTTATTTTACACACTGACAATACATAATGCAGTGCAGTGTTGATTTAAAGAAAATAATCTTGAATTACACCAAGTGAACTAAAATTTTATGGGTGAAATGGCGCCATGGGTGACTTCTCTTCCACCCCAATGCCTTCTCTTCTCCCTTCTCCTCCACCCCCATTCTAATTCCCATCATCATCATCATCCAGGAGCCTTCTACATACACACCTCAAAGTAAGTGTACTTTTCTACCTTTTTTGTTGAATTTAGACAATTTTCGGTGAGCTGGAACCAATTACCCAAAAACCCATTGAAACAATGGTTTCGGTTTACGAGTTTTTCAGTTAACGAGCAACCTTCTAGAACGGATTGTGCGCGTTAACCGAGGAACCACTGTGTATATATATACAGTGACCCCTCTGTTAACAAACTCAATCCGTTCCAGAAGGTCGTTCGTTAACCGAAAAGTTGAAAAGTCTCATGCTCCAGTGAATAGACTAACGCCTGTTTGCTGTGTTAAGAGGCTGGATGCCACGCATTAAACTAGTCACTTTACCTTCAATTATGTTCAATAATTGTTAAAATAACCAAAAAATTGAATATTAAACTTTTAAAATTATTGAATAGTATAAACTTCTTGATATTTACTAAAATAGTAAGGAATTTAAGCCCTAGAACCGATTAATGTATTGGTCTGCGAACAAAGCTGGTTAAAATTCGTTAACCGAAAGCGTGAGGGATCCTTATGGAAGCAGTTCGTTAACGAAAATTTCGTTAACGGTTAAAGCGGAGGGGTCACTGTATATATATATATATATATATATATATATATATATATATATATATATATATATATATATATATATATATATATATATATATATATATATATATATATATATATATATATATATATATATATATATATGCAAGCAAATCACTGTAGGTGCGCGTGATCTAGGTATATGCTGATAACCACAAGGAAAGAAGAAAACACGAAGTTCCCAAGCGCTCTCGTGTAATTCACATCTTCAGGGGTGAGTACAGACTAGAGCACGAAAGCGCTTGGGAACTTCGTGTTTTCTTCTTTCCTTGTGGTTATCAGCATATATATATATATATATATATATATATATATATATATATATAAGACAGACAGAATTAATAAAATAAAGCTTAAAACTATTCCAGTGATTACTCCATAACATTACCTGTATTTCAATACTGTACTGTACCTGCAACATGCCATAGGTGTGTCAATTCACAACATTAGTTTACCTGGAACAGGGGAAGTGGCAACACATCTGAGTGACAGTGGGGCGGGGGTGCTGGTGGTGGACGCCATGATGGAGCCACTGGCAGATGCTACTTTGCTGCACCTCCAGCAGGACATCCATGTCCTCGTGAACGGCACTTCCAAGAATGGCAGAGCTAACCTGAGAGAAATTATTTCCAGTGACAACATTCCATTTGCTCACCAAGTTGATGTAAGTAAGGGGATGCAAGGATGAAATCCCCACCAAAGAAAGAAAAAAAATTCACAACCTACCCTAACCAGAAAACTGTCCCACACAAGAATTTCCTGGTGAGGGTTTTTACGGCAGTGGGTTTTTCTCTGATGAAGTTGTCTTAAAATTGAGTTCGGCATTACGATCCTATTAGAGGTCAAGATGTGGTTAATAATTAGGACCTTATTTATGTTGGGTTACTGGACTTATTTGAATTCATTAGGAAGTTTATATACAGTAAGAAGAATCTCAAATGAATTGAAAAGTCAATGGAAATAGAAGAATTATCTGGTAGAGAATGTTGTGATGGCATTGAGTGTGAGCCCATTCAAGACTAGACTTGACAAACACTAGCGCAGGCCCAGAACTTCAGATGCATACTAGAGCCTGTACTTGCCAACAGCCAACAGTGAGGAGGTTAAAGTAAATAAAGCAAAATTAGATACAGTACTATATGGGGTAATTTGTAAGGAATTTAAAATTATACAAAAGAAACATAATCACCAGGAAGTACTGCACTTTGTAATATTTTTTCTTTATAATAATTATAATAATAATACTGTATTGTAATATCAACCTTTACTGTTTCCAGTGGAAATGATTAAGCCGGGGGAAGTTGATTACAAAGCTGACCCCAACATGGGTGTCTAAGGATAACCTTTAAAGTTGCTTCAACCAGACCTACTCCTACGTTAAAATTACCCTCAGTCCCATCCCCTGTACAGAAAGTTGTATCTCATAAATTTTGACAAACTAGTGTAATGACTAACCTTATTACGCACTTAAAACCTTAGTTGTTGAAATGCAGTAATAACATGATGTCAGCCTACCCATTCCTTATTGAACATGTTGATTACATAATAACATAATCCTCCTACTTTCTCTCAAATGAACTGACTGACGTGTGTCAACATTTACAGGTCCCTGGAGAGACGGTGGCCAGCCTCCCTTACTCAAGCGGCACTACAGGCAAACCCAAAGGCGTGTGCTTATCCCAAATCGCCATCTCCAACATAATTAATATGTTCCACACCCCCTACACTGCTGTAATCACCAATGCAGAAGGTGATTTTAAACTTATGTTAAGATACAGCAGCTCCTTAAAGGCAGTATTGATATGCTGTATTACAGCATATCAATACTGCCTTTAGGGAGCTGCTTGTGCTGCTGCCTTTATTGATGGCAAGAGGACCTTTCTTCCAAGTAAAGGGAAGAATGTATGTGGCTGGTGAGAAGTGTGATGTTATGTTATATGACAGTTAAAAAGTATGACATAAGTAGATGAGAGAGCTGAAATGAGAATGGTGAGGTGGATGTGTAATATGACACTGAAAGACAGGAGGCCCTGTTCAGAGCTAAGAGGGCGGCTGGGTATTGTGAGTACCCTGTATTGGCGAAATGCTGCGTAGAGGCAGGCTGAGATGGTCTGCCTGGTCTGGACATGTGGAGAGTATAGATGAGACTGGTTGGGTCAAGAGGCACATGAGCCTAAATGTGGAGGGGAGGAGAGCCAGGGGTAGGACATATGACATGGTGAGAGGTTCTAAAAAATGACATAAAGAGTTAGGAACCTGACAAGAGAGACTGCAAAAGACCATGCATCAAGGAGAGCTGCCATCAGGTAACCACAGTTCTCCCATGCAAGTGTGGAAAATGGCCATAAAATGATGATGAAACTACCCACCGTTGTGTTTAGGTGCAATATTTTTCCCTTTCCAATCTTTGTACGCTAATTTTAATGTTATTTATTACATCATATGTCTTGATTTAATTTGAGCTTATATAATTTAACCTAGCCTGATATTTGACATGAAATCTTCATCTGATCTATTGATCTCTGCTGACCCCATCACCTTTGACCTGATCTACAGGAGACCACCAGGATGTGCTAATAGGTCTGTTACCCTTCTTCCACATCTATGGGATGATGGTAACCATGAGTTCTGGCTTAAAATGTGGTACCAAGATTATTACGCTGCCCAAGTTTGACCCTCAGAGCTACGTCACACTACTCAAGAAGCATAAAGTAAGACATGCTGTCAACTGTTATTAGGATGCCTTATTACTAAATGTTTCAAAGTCTGATGAGTATGTTGTACACTAGCCCCCTTCCCCATTCTGTCTCTGGATGCCACATGCATCACTTGCAAAATAGAGTACTGTATTAAGGGGTTGCTCTAGTTAATTTTCTTTCTTGCTTGCTTATCCAGAATATATTGCAGGCACTGTTTGAGCTAGAAAGCTGAAATTTAGACATGAAAGTGACCAAGTGCTTTGGCAAAAATAGAGCCATCCAATTGTTACTCATATTTTGTTTATGGAATGGTATTGGGGTGTACACTGTACATTGTTAGCACCACTACTTATTTTTGGTTTTCACTACTAGTTTATTGACAATTACAAAGTACCGGTATAAGCAAATTTAAATTCTGTACTGTATACAGTATTAAAAGTCCGGGGAACCTTCAAAAGCAATATTCCCAGCTAGTACAGTAGTACATAAATACCCAGATAAGTTCCAAAAGCATTGATAATTAATACAGTATACTGTACATCACTATTCCTTAATCATTAAAAATTTTAATTTATAAGACATTCACCCAATAATAAAGGTTACTTAAACACACGCCACTCCTGTACTGTAAATATGTACCCTATACTTAAGCTAATCATTTTGGGTGCCTCAGGTCTCGAGTCTGCACGTCGTCCCATCACTGTTGCAGTTCATTGCCATGTCTCCAGCTGTGTCACCAGCAGACTTGGCCAGTGTTAAATCTATTATGTGTGGTTCTGCCCCAGTCCTGCCCAATATAGCTACCATGCTCAAGGAAAAAGCATCTAATCCACTTTTCTTCCAGGAAGGTAACTTAGGCAAACCTGTTGTTTGTTTCTGTCTCCCATGATGGATTTGAATCTATTGGTAACACTCATTTCCTGAACTATGATAAATTTCTTATTACACACACCTGTGCTGAGATATTAATAAAATATTTAGCTGGTGTTAAATACCTGTACAGAGTTTTCTCCTTCTGTGTCTACCCTGCTACAGTTTACGGCATGACAGAGATTTCTTGCTCCCACATGACTATTTGTGGGGAGGAGAAGTTGGGCTCTTGTGGTAAACTGCTTCCCAACACTCGTGCCAAAATAGTCGACCTGGACACTGGTGCAACTCTTCCTTCCGGTGCCAAGGGTGAACTGTATGTGCAAACACCTGCTGTAAGTAACTTGTAGCTGTATATTGTATATATACCGTACAGGGATATCTACGTTAGCCAGAAAAATTGGTGCAGAGCACTTCCGGGAATGAGAGACTCCTGGGTAACAAGACGACTCTCTCAAAGCCGGAAAAAATCCCTCAGCCCTGGAAGTTTCCTTGTAATGGAAAAATTTTCTCAGAAGTTCCAGAAGTTGCCCATTACATCATCTCTCGGACCTGGAAAAATATCCCCCATCCCCAGAATTTTCAGGGTACTGGAAAAATTTTCTCCAAATTTCCCGAAAATGTGCCTGATTTTCATCTCTCAAACCCGAAAAAAAACCTCCCCCATTCCTGGAATTTTCTGGGTAGCTGGAAAATTTTCTCAGAATTTTCCGGAAAATGTGCCCCTCGGTAAATCTTTCCCAAAGCCAAAATTTTACGGAAAATTCGGGCTTTACGAACTATTTTCCAAGAAAAATTTCAATTCTGGCTATCGGAGAGTTCCGGGTTTGAGGGATTCTGGCTAAAGGAGATATTACTGTACAGGGTGTATATTTATATGTGTGTGTGCATATATACAGTGCTTTATATGTGTGTGGGTACAGCCAGGAGTTGTAATTGCTACCCCCCAGTTGCTTGAGCCACAACCAGTGAAGGCCACTATTGACACAATGCAACATTGTCAGCCAGGACTACCTGGTAACATTTAGACAGGGGATGGGGGTAGGGAGAAGGGTTTGTCCAATTGCCAGGTCTTCATTTGCCGTGGCTCCAGCTACTGGGGGGGGTGGTTGGGTAGCAATTACTGCTTCTGACTGTACATTGATGGAAGAATGTCTGAATACAGTAATAATTTCCTGGTATTGAGGGTAGTAATTATCAACTACAGTACTAATTATTTTTGCTCGAAGGATTGTCCCTTAAGAAAAAATAAAGCTTTTTAACTTGCAGTTAAGACAGTCTCAGCAACTGCAGTCTATCTGCAACACTGTACATATATTCTTTTAAATAATTTTATTAACAAAGAACCTTTTACCCTGCACAGAGGATGACAGGGTACCACAACAACCCCCAAGCCACAAAGGAGGTCATGGATATGGATGGCTGGGTCAAGACTGGTGACTTGGCCACCTATGATGACGAGGGCAACTTCACCATCATTGACCGCATGAAGGAGCTCATCAAGGTCAAGGGAATGCAGGTACAACACACACACACAATAGTATAGATCTATTTAGAATGTGTTAGTACAGTACTCTATATCTTTTTGTAAAATATATATAAGCATATACAGTATATCCTTCCTAAATTATATATATACTGTATATATATATTAGGGTGTGTCAATTTTGTCAACATGATAAAAATCAAATTTGGTAGTCAAAATATTGTGCCTCTTTATGTCTAAACTTGAGATTAGCAAACAAAAATGAATTGAAATAACCCTCACCTACATCAATTATACCTTAAAGTTTCAAATATCAGTATTTCAACAAATTAATGAGACTTGATTAGAATTATTCACTTGATATTAACTAATCTCATGTAAGCATATGGATTATGGAGTATTTTATGGTTCTATAGCTTGTGTACAATATGCATGTCAGAACATGAACATGAACAGGCTCTCCGTGTGGGACAGTTTAATTCTTGTTTTGACTTGTACCAAGCGTGAGGATAAGGCGCCCGGCTCACTCTCCTTCTAGATATCATAGACGGTGGTTTGCTCTCATTGCACTTGCACCTACTCTACCAGACGAATTCTACATTTTAATTATTGTAAGTAGGGCATATTGATTGTCGCAGTTACTTATATCATTGTATAAAACATTATGTTCTAAGAAATTATTATGTTATTTCTGTTACAGCATTTTTGATAAACAAATTGATATTTTTTGAAACAACAATTGAATTATGAAACATTGAAATATTTTTCTATTTGTCAGATAGTGTGAAGATGTCAAAATTGAAGACAAGAAGTCAGTTGTCAACCCACTTGAGCCTGCTAGTTGGTAAAGGGAAGGAGCTTCCTGTATCAGAACTTCCAACAGTGAGAGACATGCTAAGATTAGGGTTACTCCTTCGAGAAAAAAATGCAAAGGACAGAAGGAACTATACAGATAAAGAACTCATAAATGACATGATAGTCCCTCTTCTGCATCAATGGACAAAAGCTAATGCACTATTCAAACCACCTGTGATTAATCAGTGTCGAACTATTGAGCTAAAACTAACGAAATTATGGCACAAAGCAGTTGAAACATCACTTGGTAAAGGAAACTTGGCCAGGAAAAATGAATTTCTGCACACACTTGATACTCTGTTTGACATTTTGACCTGCAAGTGCTCCATACAATTATGTTCTGAATCCAACTGTTCTCACTCAGGTAAGAGAGAAAATAATTCCCACATTGATTGTGGTTGTCCTCGTGAAAAGAAGATCCCTGTTTTAGAGCTTGAATTTATAAAGGCACAGAGGACAAAGGCAGAAGGCCAAGGAAGTATGCAAATGGGTTCAATAGATTATTCAGAAACAAAGAAGCAGATTGCTAATGCCAAGAAGAGAGAACAAATCCGAGAGAGGGAACAAAAGAAGAAAATGAAGAGTGAAGAAGCCATCCAAAGAGAGGAAGAGCTGTGTCAAGATGTTTATCACTTCTTTGATAGTTCTTCTGATGAACAGGAAGCAACATCAGATGATAGTTCCAAAGAGCCATCTGAACCTTTACCAAAGAAAATGAAATACAACACAAGAAATATTTCAAACATTGCTTTAGCTAGTATTCGCCACCATGCTGGACTTCGTGAGGCTGCAGAAATTGCAACTGCCGCTTGGATAGATGCAGGCCTCATCAGCCGAGAGGATGTATCTTTGGTGATAGATCATAATAAAATTAGAAGAGCACAAGAAAAAATAATGAAGGAAATATCTGATCAGCATGAAAAAGATTTAAGCGAGGGAGGGCTCTCCTGTCTTTTGTTTGATGGAAGAATAGATGACACAAAAGTTTTGCTAGAAGTAGAGGGAGTGAACAGAAAGTTTCCAGGTCTCATCAAAGAAGAACACTACTCTGTCTGTTCTGAGCCTGGTGGTCGGTTTTTGTTTCACTTTGCTCCCGAAACTGAAGTAGAAGGGAAGAAACATGCAGAGGTCATTGCTGATCATATTTTATGTTGGGTTCAGGAGAGAGGACTTGGCAGTTCACTGCAGGCTGTTGGTGGAGATTCAACTGCAGTGAACACCGGATGGCAGGGGGGTGTAATGACGCATTTAGAGAAAAAACTAGGAAGAAGACTTGTTTGGATTGTATGTGATTTACATACAGGCGAGCTACCTCTTCGTCATCTCATCCAGGAACTTGATGGTCCTACAAAGAGCAACAACAAGTGGTCAGGTCCCCTTGGCATCATGCTGGATGAAGCAACACAACTAGAAATAAATACAACCTTTCCAAAGGTCGAAGTTGGCCCTCCCCTTCCGGCGTTGTCTGAAGGAGTCATCAAAGATCTCAGCACAGATCAATCCTATGCTTATCGTATTGCCCAAGCAATAAGATCAGGAGAAGTGCCTCAGTCATTGGCTCTCTTGAAGATTGGACCTGTCAGTCACAGCCATTGGTTAACTACAGCTCTTCGTTTCTGCAGGATTTGGATTTCCAAACACGAATTGAAGGGCAAAGTGCTGAAGAATTTGAGGTTAATTGTTGAATTTATTATTGGAGTTTATCTTCCCCAGTGGTTTAGTGTGAAACTTAATCCTATGTGGGTGGATGGGCCCAATCACCTTTTGTTTCAATTGCAGCTAGTAAGAACACAGAGGAAGGTAGTGAGGGACATCGTGTTACCTGTGGCAAGAAGGTCCGCTTGGTATGCTCGATCAGAAGCAGTTTTGCAAGCAATGCTTTGCAGTCAATGTACCAATCTCCGAACCGAGGCTGTAGAAGTCATTCTAAAGATTAGAGGAACGCTAATAGATGACGACCAGTTGGGAGACTGTTCGTTTCATTCAAGAAAAGTTCCCCCAATAAACGTCAATGCCACCAAATTGTCAGAATTGGTTGACTTGAGTTTGGAAGTCTTAGAGCCACCATTGACAACAAGTCTAACTAGCCAAGAATTGAGAAACCTTAAAGAGACTCCAATGCAGGTGCCGAAGTGGCCTTCCCACACTCAAAGTGTGGAGAGATGTGTGAAAATGGTCACAGAAGCAGCGGGCCATGTTTACAGCCACGAGAGGCGAGAAGGTTACATCAAAGCACAAATAGCAAGCAGACTACTGATGACAAGAAACCAAAGCAAAGAGAGTATGAAGGCATTGGTTACTTTCAAATAGACTACGGATAATAAAATATAATAATTTGAAACTTGAAACAGTAACATGTGTGCAAACGCTGGTTATGTTATAAATTCACAAATATGTACATTTAAAAATCCATTTGATGTAGGTAGGACTTATTATAAAAAAAAATTTATGCCAGAATATTGTTTTGCATGCTTAAAGACTACAATAAATTGCTACCAAATTACTCGATTTTCAATTTAGCCAGTTCACCCCCTAAATTGACACACCCTACCATCAGAAATAAAGACGAAATAATATATATATATATATATATATATATATATATATATATATATATATATATATATATATATATATATATATATATATATATATATATATATATATATATATATATATATAAACTTTCAATCCTATAAGATTATTAAACAATAATCCATAGTTGTAAAGCTTTTTACAAAATAAATACTATACGTATTCAGAAAGGGATTAGTCATGTAAAAACCACATTAATCCAAACATACCTTCCTATGAAACTACTCTTTGGTATGAGTCATGTACTCCTAACAACCAGTATCTCACTCTGGTGCAACTCTTGCAGGTGTCACCTTCAGAGCTGGAGGACGTGCTGCTGGGTCATCCGGGCGTGGCCGAAGTGGGTATTGTTGGTGTGGATGATGAACGTGCTGGGGAAGTGCCACAGGCATTTGTGGTCCGTCGTGGTCAGGTGACTGAGGATGAGCTGCAGGCTTTCATGCAGGGCCGTGTAGCCCCTCACAAGCAGCTGGCTGGAGGCATCAAGTTTGTTGACCAGTTGCCTAAGAATGCTACTGGCAAGCTCCTCAAGCACGAACTGAAGAAAATAGCACAGCAGGAATAGCTGACACACACATGCTTCCAAGTGCCTGATGTTTTGACCAAATTTGGAGGGGATTTATACAACATAACATTAAATTTTCAATGGGAATTATAATATTTCATCTTAATGACACTTATTTCTACACTTCATCTTTAACATCCCTATTTTACACTTCAATTTATGACATGACGTAAATCACTTTGTGATAACTAGTTTTATTATACAGAATCTTATAGGTAGGACTCATATTTACCAGTGACCATGTTACAATGATATTTGATGTAAGTTTGTTAGTTACAGTTCTTATGTCTTGTATGATAAGTTACATGTAGTAATATGTCTGACCCATAGATATGAATCACCAAATAGGATTTTTGTTGAAAATAATATGACATACACACTCTGTTATCTGTTAACACTGGTTTCCATGCATTAATATTAATTTTAGTGGACAGATCTTTTGATTACTGTATTTTTAGAATATTCATCATTCCAAAATACTGTACTTATCAGTGATACTGTCAATGTTAAAGGTACTAGCTTTTATGGTTTCAGTGTTATGCAAGATTTTTGTTAACTTGTTGCAGGCATAATATAGCACTAAAGTGGAACATCATATTAACTATAGGAGGGAGTACAGTACAACTTTTGACCCACCATACATCATGGAGAGGCACAATTACTGATCCCTTATCACCATGTTCCTCATTGGCAGTTTGGTAAGATTGACTCTCATGATTAGATGGTTATCACTGGCAGTCTTATCAAAGGTCATTCACTATGATATTCCAAAACTCCCTGACTTTGATAAGGCTCATATTTGACATGGCATATTCATTGCAATATAGTATGTTTATCATATTTTATGATCTCTGATATTGGCTAGGTTGGCCATTATGTGTTTTTATATACAGTATATAGTTTTTTCTACAGTATATTGTGAATTACATGAACTGAGAACAAGGAGCTGTATACTGTAGTTCATTCATGACAGTCGCTATAGGCATCGCCAGGTAGTGGACATAGTAATTTTTTTTTTTAAATGACAGTACAAGCCCCACCCCCCTTTGCTGCTCATTGGCTCAACATAATGTTTGATTAATATACTGTAATTAAATATATCCATATATAATTGTTAAGAATACCCAGTTCTGGCTCATTTTAATGCCAAATTTAATGTATGTAAAGATTTAACTGCTTGAAAACATTTACTCTTAAGATATGTGTAAAAAAAAGTTTAAAACAACAATTATTTAACATCGAAGTCACAAACAAATTCACACTTTTGGAGAAGGGGTTGGGGCTTCTTTGCCTAGTACTGTCAGGTAAAGAAAAAATTACTATACAGTTGTTGTTTAGTTCTCAGTTCAGCTTTTTTTATGTTAGTATGTCTGACAATCTGAAGTTACATAGGGCAATATATACCCATTGATGTAGTATATATTATGGTACAGTGATCCCTCGGTTAACGAGAGCCTCAGTTAATGATTTACCTTCCATAAGATTTTTAACTTCGGTTAACGAGCAATCCCTCGATTAACGAGTTTCTTACGACCCGACCTCAACATGTTTTCGCTTGCATTTGGCAGTCCACCAGCTGTAGTATTAGTCCGCCAATACAGTTATCGGTTCTAGGGCTTATATTCCTTACAGTTTTAGTAAATATCAAGAAGTTTATGCTATTCAATAATTTTAAATGTTTAATATTAACTTTTTTAGTCATTTTAACAATTATTGAACATAAGTGAAGGTAAAGAAACTAGTTTCTGGCGCACCATCCAGCCTGTTAACACACCAAACAGGCGTTAGTCTCTCTTTTCAGTGTTGGTAACATCTTGCTTGAGATTCTCTTCAACTAAACGCTTTTTTTGTTTACAAGCAAATTATTGGTCATTTTGAATTTTATTTTACATATTGACAATATATAATGCAGTGCAGTGTTGATTTAAAGAAAATAATCTTGAATTACACCGAGAACTAAAATTTTATGGGTGAAATGGCGCCATGGGGTGACTTCTCTTCCACCCCAATGCCTTCTCTTCTCCCTTCTCCTCCACCCCCATTCTAATTCCCATCATCATCATTATCATCATCCAGGAACCTTCTACATACACACCTCAAAGTAAGTGTACTTTTCTACCTTTTTTGTTGAATTTAGGCAATTTTCGGTGAGCTGCAACCAATTACCCAAAAACCCATTGAAACAATGGTTTCAGTTAACGAGTTTTTCGGTTAACGAGCAACCTGCTGGAACGGATTGTGCTCGTTAACCGAGGGACCACTGTATACCTGGAGAGGTAAATCTAAACCTTTGTAAATGTACAGTGCAATGCTATCCGTATTTTATATGTACAGTTGCAGCAGTCAAAAGTAATCATTCTCTCCGCTACCTAACTCCTGTGCCTGGCCGGGTCCTTTCTGCATGGTAAGTCACGTGGGGTAGAGAGGGGGAATGGTCGACTTGGAGGAGGGCCATTTGTTTGGTGGGGATGGTGGTATGCAATACAAAATGCTCAGAGTGAAGGAGGGGATTGAAGAAGCAAGGAAATTCATAAAAGAAGGAAGGGAAGGATGGATGTACAGTTGTACCCCACTTAACGCGGTCAATAGAACCCAGAGGGTCCCGTGTTAAGTGAAATCCGCGTTAAGTGAACAACAGAACATATGGGATTAATTCCAATAGAAACCGGCCCGACCCCCAAACTCCACTTTTTGAAGGCACATACCTATGTTGTAGTAAAAATAACATCTTAATTTTATGATGGTACATGCACACAATTAATACTTAAGAGAAATAGAGAAATACAGTCGCCAAGTTAATGTCCATTAAAATAATGGACTCAACTCCCTCCCCCTCTCACACTACACTGCCGGCTCTTCCCTCTCTGAGAAATTTTTGGGGGAAAACCACTAAATTTTAATAAATAATACCTCAAACTAAAGTTAGGATAATACAATTGACATTGCTGGATTCCTTGTAAGACCAGGAATATTTTGAATATAAATGTCATATATTTTGCACAAAAGATAACATAGTTACCTAGAGAAAATTTTTTATCTAAAATTTGTATGTTTAATGCAAAATATATGATGTTTATATTCAAAATGATCACCAAATTATAAGAATTCCAGCAATGTAAATTATATTCTGACCGGGCAATTTGTATGAATTTTATGAGCTAAAACAGGCAGGGTGGCGGGTGGGGCAAATCTAAAAATAGCGTCTCGAGCCGGACACTCACCGTGTATATGTGGAAAAAATCCGTGTTAAGTGAAAGTTCAGCTCTGGCGAGGCACCGCATATATGATAAAACGCGTTAAGTGGGGTAATACTGTAATTGTTTTTCTTTACCATATTATCTTAGGTTTACATGCTTGAAAGAGTAATAGATGAGAATCCTTATTTTATGATTATCATAATGTGCCATACTTTGGTCATATAATTAGGGATGAGGGAATAATAACAAATATTAATGGGCAAAGTTGAGGGTAGGAAGGCCAGGGGAAGGCAGACTGGGATAGATGGATGAATGAAATTTAAAACTGGGTCCCCAGAGAGATACAAAATGTTAGAAAATTGGTAAAAACAGCCGGAGAATGTTTAGAGTGGAGGACTGTGGTCGCCAACCCTCAGATATGAGGTCAATACCGTACTCCTTTTGATTGATAATGTGCCATCCATCTCCTTATTTACCATTTTTTCAGGTTGTAAACAATGGTAATTATATATTTATAGTAATGTTAACGAGGAGAAATATTGAATATAAGGGAGGATAGCACATTATATTATTTATATTAATTAAGAGTACAAGTATGTTTTTTTTACATTACACACCCAAAATTGGTCATTTTAATACAGTATATCAAATGCCAGCCAATTTTACAGACTCCTCCCAGCAAGTGAACCATTGTTTCACAGTGACCCCAACCTCCCTTGCAATTTCTGACACGTAGCCAGCCACGCCCAAACCAATAATTTACCCGCGAATCACCAATCAACGTTCTTTAGCGTCCATCCAATGGCCTAACACCATTGCCACTACCACCTCTCATTGATTTTCATAACTCTAATAAACATGTTAACAAGGTGGACAGGTCACAATCTATCCAACAATTCATTCTTAATTTTTTCTATCGATTAATATTTTAATTTCAAGAATGGTAGTGGCGAGAGGTGGAATTGGTCAAGTAACAACCTACAGTAGTTTAGTGTTACTGGTGGTGAGCAAGCCACGCCTTCTCTTCTCTTATGTTGTCATATCAGGGGCTTTCCTTCATGGAAGCCAGATGCCTTTCATCCCTAATGACATTACCTGCCAAAAGCTCACTTGCATTCCTCCCCAGAATCTCAAGTAAATGCATAGATAACTAAGGGATAGTTAATTCCATATGACACCACCCCAGACACCCGCCCTCCTGGTTGGTTGGTTGTTTGGGCTTTAGGACTATCAACTGCCAGGGTCATTAAGGCCGTCAACATCAAGTTACATCCACCAATCCAGACACTGGTGTTAGAAGATAATTCTAAGACTACATATACTCTCACTATGTATGTGACCCTTGACTTGTGCCCTCCTACCTTACCCGGGTTCACCACCCCTTGCTTTTCCCTGCCCACTTGTGACCTGTCGTGTAGAAAGGCCTTGAGCTCATGGGTATGGTAGTAAGAGGGGTGGATGATTACTTTTGACCGCAACTGTACCTGCATTAATTTCTACAAATTACTCATCCATGAAGAACAAGACATTATTGTACATGATATGTTTTGAGATTAAATAATTGTAAACATTAATATAATATTACTTTTATATCTAAATTTGACGTAACATTTTATAATAAAAGTTTACAGTAATAAATGGGTTACTTATCCTTGACCATATAAGTAACAAAATGATCAGCAGACATTGAGGTACAGTATCAGTATTAAGAAAAAACTATTCTCAAATATATTAAACTTGTCACAATCCAGGACCATTACAGACACCTTACTGTTACTTCTTGTCCTGACAAATGTTTAGGAAAGATGAATAGAGATAGCAGTAAATTAACTTGCCTCTTTATGTTACATAGAGGAAACTTGAATATGCAGGAAATGTAATGTTTGGAAGATGATGAATGACTGGGATCAAAGATTGTGCTTACTGAGGTGAAGAAATAGCTCACAGAGGAAGACAGAACATGATGGAGGAATGGACAGAGGAAGATGTTTGGTTGACACAGGAAATGAAATAGCCAATGTTGTCACAGTGATTAACAGCACATCAGATACACAAGAGTTAAGTGGGAGGGGGAGGGCAGGATAAATGACTTCCATTCCAATTTTGAGGTTAATTCCAAACTTTTTTTCTCAGTGTTGTTGTTGGTACTTCTCGTAAATAGATTCCATGGCAGAGTCGTTTCCAACTACAAATCTAAATCATTCATACCTTAAACAGCTGAAGAGTACTCATGAAAAGGGAACAGGGTCATAGTTTTCAATGAAATAAGTTTGGGGAGCATTTATAAATGCCATCCTGCTTCTGTAAGAAGTTAGTAGCACTCATTATATACTGTAGAGTATTGGGATAAACACACGATACATTGGGATAAACACACGATATATTGAGATAAACACATGATATACTGTATTGGGGTAAACAAGATGAAGAATGTATGCATCTGCCTAACCAACTTAAATCAGTGAAGACTTTGTTCAACTACCAACAAGCAAACTAAAGACAAATTGTTGACTATTCATCTACCTAACTAAGAAATTACTGGTGACTACAATATATCAAACTACCTAGCAAACTTAAGATCAGTTACTAAAGACTACATTCAAATAACTATCTAACTTAATGTTGTCACTTGTGACCAGGGCCGTCCCTAGGAGGGTGCGGGGCCCGGGGCAACTCAGCCACTGCGGGGCCCCAGATTATGTGGTCAGAGGAACCCACCCCCACCAACCCCCATGGGACTGTCGCTATGGATGGTAAGGTCACGGTTGCGATGGTGGCGTAAGCCGTCAGGTCAGATTAACCAGTCAACAGGTAATGTGTCCGAGGTCACTGGGTCTAGCGCTGGGCC